ATATATATATATATATATTATATATATTCATATATATATATATATATATCAATATATATATATATATATATATATATATATATATATATATATATATATATATATATATATATATATTTATATATATATCAATATATATTTATATATGCATATATATATATGTATATATATATATATATATTATATATGCATATATATATATGTATATATATATATATATATTTATATATATATATATATATATATATATATATATATATATATATATCAATATATATATATATCAATATATATATATATATATATATATATATATATATATCAATATATATATATATATATATATATATATATATATATATATATATATATATATATATATATATATATATATATATATGTATATATATTTATATATATTTATATATGTATATATTTATGTATGTATGTATATTTTTTTCGTCTTTAATTTTCATAGTTATTTAAAGTCATTTTTTAGGCTGAAGAAAAAAATTTATATTATAGACTTTTGAACTTTTTTAGTAATATTAGACAACGTCTTATTGACATGGGACAATGTAATTTTGCATAATTTTGAATAAATTTTTTTTTAACAATGCCAAGCTTGCAAGAACAAATAATAATAAAGAAAATTGTAATCAATTCACTAAAATAAATTACAGTTGTTTAAATTTAATGTAAAAGTAACAAGAAAAAAAGGAGATCGATACTTTTGCTTTTATATGTTTTTGTTTACTGTGCACCTTCGGAAGAATGAGAACTAGTAATTTCTGGAACAAAAACATTAACAAAGCGCTATTGTTTGCTTCCAGACTATATACTTCTTATGACTATGCTGCGAGGGAAATCTTTTAATCTTTTTGGCTTTGTTTGTTAACTAAATATAGCGTTCCGTAATTTATGGACAACAAATTTACTGTTTATATATATTTGTTACCCGAGAAAAAAAAACCCGCTAATCCTGTTAAGTTCCTAATAAGTTTCCTATTAAAACTTAGTAAGTTCCCGCCGAGTACTTACTAGGAACTTAGTAGGATTAGCAGGTTTTAGTAGGAAACTTAGTAGGATTAGCAAGTTTTAGTAGGAAACTTAGTAGGATTAGCAAGTTTTTAGTAGGAAACTTAGTTGGATTAGCAAGTTTTTAGAAGGAAACTTAGTAGTATTACTAGGGTTTTTACTCGGAACTTAGTAGGTACTTAACAGGATTAGTAGGGTTTTTTTTCTCGGTTAAGTACTACTTTCTAGTTTTAGTTAATAGTTTTTTTAGTTAAATTCATATGTTTATTAGGGTTTTATTTAATTATTTGAGTTTTAAAGATTTCATAGATATATTAGTAGGCTTATTTTTCAAGAAATATACGAGTTTAAATAAAAATAATAATTTTTACTTAAACACAGAATCTTCTTGAAAATATAATCCTTATAATATAACTTAACTAGTCGCTAAGCAATAAGGACGCTTATTTATAAAACAATAATAAAAATAACAAATAATTAAGTGATAGATTGTTTAACTAGAACATTTAAAAAAATACAATAAACAGCTATGGTCAGTTCTTTTGGTAATTTCGCAGGTGTCAGAGGAATAATTGCACCCATAAGATTTTTCTTAATCTTTTACGACCATAACTGTAGCTATAACGTAATTTATAAAAATATTAATGTAATTCAACAACATAATAACATATATTTTATAACAAAAAAGCATATTTAACTTACCATAAATTTAGAACGATGAAAAAACTTTCATTATCACGGTTTCAAAGCTATTATAATCTAAAATTTCAAAATAAAAGTGTATGAAAATATGAAACTAAGTTAAATTAAAAAAATTTACATAAGCCTCGTGTGTGTGTATATATATATACATATATGTATATAAATATATATACACATATATGTATATGTATATATATATATATATATATATATATATATATATATATATATATATATATATATATATATATATATATATATATATATATATAGTATATATATATATATATATATATATATATATATATATATATATATTTAGTGCATATATATATATTACTAAAAACTTGAGTAACTAGCATTATATAACTATATACAGTAGTAATTAATCAAAATATTATAAAATTAAATTATGGAAATTTTAAATTAATTTATATAATGGCATTTATAACAAAAATCTTAATGTTAAGTAAATAAAAATTATAATACAAAATATAACAATATTCAATAATTTTATAGTTTGTTTAACATGTTAAAAAGAAATGTTAAATCTTGTTAACAAGAGATAACAATAAAAATATATTTACCAGTAAAAAATGTTTATATATATTTTATGAGAGAGTGATTTCAATATTGATCAATTTTTAATGTCAAATGGTTTACTCCCTTTTAGTCTGACTAAAACTTTTAGTCAAGCTTGAAGTGAGTGGTTTTTTGACATAAAAATTTGACTTTTTAAATAAAACTACAAATAAAATTTCTAAGGAAATTAAAAATAAAAGTCTTTCTTTATACTAAAACAAAGTGACAAATCTTTATTAATAAAGATAAGTCACTTACTCTTTTTAGTAAAAAGAAATAGTAAAAAGAAAGAGTGACAATATAATTGTTTATGATTTATGATTTTATGTTTATTAAAAAATAAAATATAATTTAAAAAACACATCACCATATATATCACTATGAATCAGAAAATACTCGAATTGATACAACAGAAAATGCTCGAGTTAAAATTAACATTTAAAACCACATTATAACACATTAACAAATATTCATCAAATAAACTGCAAACCACGCAATCATCCCCAGATGTTCTTGAGCTTTTTCTTTAAAGAATTACAAATATTAATTAGTAAAACTATTGAATCTAAAAAAGCTGTTTTATGGCTGACTTGTCTTCCGTGTGAATAAATAAAAGATGGCGTATAACAAAGACGATTTTTTATACTTGTTTTATTTTTGAAAACTTACTAGGAACTTACTAAGTAATTCGTTTAATCCTGATAAGTACTTAGTAGGAACTTACTAGGATTAGCAGGAAATTCATAAACGTCATTTCACTAATGGGAAACTTAATAGGTTTAGCCGTATTAAGCGAAAACTTACCAGGATTAGCCGTATTAGCAGGAACTTAACAGGATTAGCAGGAAGTTAAACATATTCCTAGTAGTATTAGCGGGTTTTTTTTTCTCGGGTACTGTTTCATCTGATGATAGTAATAAACAGAAAAAATTTTATAAATTGTATTTTCGAAAATTCCGGATATTTTTAAAATTTTTTATATTTTCGAATATTTAATTATCCGGAAAATATAAAAAAATATCCGGAATTCCGGAAATATCCGGAAAAAGATAAATCCTGTAATAATAAAAAAATAATAATACAAAAAAATATAAAATCGAAAAATACAAAAAAATATAAAATACAAAAAAAATACAAAAACTAGAAAATCGAAACCAAAATAAAAACAAAAATAAATATATATATATATATATATATATATATATATATATATATATATATATATATATATATATATATATAACCATGGTAACTATTGTAACCCCTTTCATCTTCTTATTATTGCAACACCATTAATACTGTAACCATAGTGAAACTTATTATTTTGAAAATGTGTAAACTATAGAAATAGTTATATTTAAAAAAAATGATAGATTGTAAAACTTTAATTTTAAACACGTAGTTAGTAAAATTATACAAATTTTGTAAATAAATATTATTTTAATAATGAAAAAAAAAAAAAAAATCATACCTTATGAGAAATTAAAATACGGAAGCGATGTCACGCAATTAATTAAATAAAAATAGCAAGAAATTAAATGATAAATAAGATGTCATACGATTCTACACAATCTTTAACAATTTCTATTATACTAAATAAGTCAATTATATACATCCCAGTTGTTATATAAATTTACTTTTCAAATTACTAACCGTTTATAAAAATAAAATACAAAATCTTGTGAAAATCCGATACCAAATGATACTATCGGTATAAAATTCTTATTAGTGCTAACATTATAAAAAAGAAGCCACTTTAGCATAGATTTCGGAGTATTTTATTATATTCAATATTTTAAAGGTTGGTTGTAAAAGACATTTTGCGAAAAGGAGAAAAAACGGTTTGAAAGTTGTAATGTTTTGCATAAATTGATGAAAGTTTTCTGATATTTGGCACAAAAATAGTTATTAAATAATTGTTCTTATTATAAAATAATGTCTTCTAGATCATGTAAAACTTAAGTAACCCAATTCATTAAAGGATTAAATTTAAACTTAATTCATGTAAAACCTAATCCGCGACCTCCAAGTGGCAGTAGAAGAACAATTTTTGGCGAAATTTAACCTTATTCATGTACTACCCAAAGACTATTTAAGATTTTACAATAAATGTGCATTTAAAATATATACCGTAAAATAGCCTAAGTTCGGTCTCCATATAACTTCGGTCATTTAAGAAAAAATATAAAAAAAGCATGCAAAATTAAAATTTAAAATTTTTCTCAAATAATATTGCCCAGACAGCCTCCCGCTAGCGGCCCAATGCTGGCCCAGTTCCGCTTGCGACTACGGCGCGATGACGACTGTCGATCACGGGCCTGCATTGAAACGGCCATTGGGCCAGCACTAGCCCGCTAGCCATGGGCCAGCATTGGCCCGCAATCGTTGCCAACACTGGCCCGGGATCATTTGCCAGTACTAAATATATCTTCAGTTAATGTTCAAACTCTTCTCTTGATGCTGCTGAGGTTAATACTTTTATTTTCACAGCATCTAAATAACACAAAGTTAAACTATGTGTGAAAAATAGTAAACAATTAAACTAAAATGTATGACTAAAATTTACATTACACACATATATATAAACGTTAGAGTAATTAAAAAAATACCATTTTTTTAAAAATTCTGCACCTCAACCCTTTTGCATTTAATAAAATAACACTAGTTATAAAATTTAAAACAATATTTAAACATAAGACAAGTTCATATTATTATCGAAAAAAAAAATTATATAAAAATAACTCCAAGAGTAAATTGCGAGAATGCTACTAACCAATACAATAAAGTATTTTTTTTGCTCACATTGGCAAGAAACCATCTCACAGATAAACATCCATTGGATGTCACTTAAGATCCCAAAAACTAAAATACCAAAAAATTAACAATAATGAAACAGTTAAATTCAGTTTACTAATGCTTACTATGTGCTTCAATTTTAGCATTAGATGCAACTGATGATGTAATACTGATTTAGAGAGCTATGAGAGCTTTAATTCATCTAGCAACTGATTAGCACTTGTATGCATCGAAATTAACACAAATATGCATCAAAATTTAACTTGATAAATTTTGATCCAGATTTGTATCTTATTTACATAAACTAACTAAAAGATTGTTTCAGAACAATTTGGAATTCAGTTACAAAAATAAAAAAGAATATTCAAATGAAAAAAGTATAAAAATACATTTTTATACAGAGCCTTGTTTTAAAAAGTTATTTTTTAAAAATGATCTGAAGAAGTCATATTTTCAATACATAAAAATGTTAAAGGAGGAATAGCACGGGCTGGAGCAAGTGACTTTTTTTATTATTTATGACATTCTTTTTTTTTCTTTTTCGGTGACAGTGGAGTGTCAGTTTCTGAATTTAAATATACAAATTTGTGATAATATACATTTCTATAAAATAATGAAAGTAAACCAACATCACAATATGATGATCATTATCTAAATTACATATGCTCATAATTATCATGTATATCATATCATCATCACAATCATCATGATCATCACCTAGTAGGACAATAACTTTACTTATATTTGTTTACTTCTAAATTTATCAGGTCTTACTGTCGTTGATTGAAATAAAGTCTGAATAAACTTTTGCCATAGGTAATTTTTCTCTTGTTTAGTCATATGTAACTGAAAAAAATCAAAATAGTAAAAAAATGTTGGAAAAATACTTCAAAATAAAAAACAAACAAAAAAATTATATACTATAGAAAAAATATATATTTATAAAAATATACATAAAACAACTAACCAGAGTTATACAAAATATTTTTATCATAATCAATCTAATCATTCATATAATCTTTACATTTTTTAATGGTAAATGTGGTGAGTCTTATAGGACTATCCACAAATACCATTTGTTATCTAACTAAAAAAAACAACAATAACAAATTAACAAAAGAAAAAAGAAACAAGAAAAGAAAAAAGAAAAAACAAAGTTAAGAAAAAATACATTCGAAAATGAAAAGTAGTTAAAAAGGAATTAAAATAAAATATAAAAAATGCTCCATTTTGGGTAAAAGGAAAAAAAAAATTTTTAGTTTTATTATAATATGATTTACTTTTTTATTTTAATATTGTCATTTTTTATGAAAACTCCATACTTTTAATTGAATACTATTTGTTTTGTTTATTTATTGTTATTTTTTAATGAAGTAATTATTTCATTTTTATCGTTTATATTATGGTTATTAATATTAGGATTATTTTTTTTATTAAATTATTGTTACTTTTTTTTGCAGTAATTGTTTTAGTTACATGGTAGGTTTTTATGCTTTGTCAGTACATAACTGTTTGTAACTTTCCTGTCTGTGCATTATATTCAATTGTTGTTTTAAAATTGATATTGGTTTATTATCATATAGTTTTCTTATTATTCTTATAACTTTTAATTTATCATCATTATTATTATCATTATTATTTGTATTATCAATCCTATTTCATGGTATTTACAGGATTACAGGATTAGTTTTTATCAATTTGTAAATGACCTTGATTATAAGGTTTTTATCGAAAAATTTATTGATTGATTGATATCTACTTTACATGAAAAACAGCCACTGAATTTTTTTTTCATCAATAAATTTAACAATATGATAAAACTTATTTATTGTTTTCATAGAAATAAAAAATATGCTAAATGTAGTAATAAATTGTATAAAAAATAGGAATTATAGGCATTAAGTGTAATTACAATTGATCATTTTGTTATATTTGATAATCGAAAAAAAACTTAAATTTGAGAAATATTAAAATATAGAGCAATAAAAAAATACTAAAAGTATTTTAAAAATTAAAATGCAAATAAATGATGAAATTTTTTTTTTTAAATACATGACAATCATCGAAAGCAATTTTGATGATGTCATTTATATGATTAAAGTCATTTTTATAAATTATTATCTATGGAATGTATTATTACAAATAATATTAATATAATATTGTTATTATTAAAAGAAAACACTTAAGACACAACATAATAAATAATAAAATAAATAATAGGCACTTTTGTTATCAAGAACAAAAATAAACTATGTACAAACTTCAACAAACTATAACAAGTGCAGTAAGACACACTTGAGAAAATTGTAATTTAAAGGGACCCCTAAGTGCTATAAAGATATGATCTCATATGAAAGAGCATAAAAAAAAAAATGTTTGATGTATATTATTTTTTCTAAAACGTAATAATGAACTCACACTAACAAATTTAATTTTCAAAAAAACGCTTTTCTTCGATTAAAAAAAAAGCGTCTTGTCCAAAGTTTATTGACTCTACTGCCTCAAAAAACTAACGTTTGTACGTCAAATTAAACAAAGTAGACAAAATGTTATTATTGCAATCTTATTAGTTGGTAATTAAATTTAAAAGTAAAGTCGTTTTTTTTTCAACTAACTCAAAATTACTTACAAGAATAAGTTTTGTAGCATTTTGTGAAAATATATTTGTATATTAAAGTTTTTTTTATAATATTAATTTATATATTTGTGTTATAAGGGCAATTCCACGGCTAAAAATGAATAGAAGTCAAATTTTAAACTCTTTTTAGTCAGTTAAAAACAAATGAATATTGACTTAGACACATGAAAGTTTATTTAAAATATTTCTTTAGTAGAAAAATAAATTTTTTTCAGTAATATTTATGGTTTCAAAAGTGACGGTTACTCTCATTTTTGCTTGATAAAAATAATAATTATTGTAAAATGTTTTAGTTAAATTAACATTTATGTTAAATTGCTATATTTTTTGGTTCAAATTGATAAGGTTTTTAGACATTTTATTAGAAATTAAACTAAGACAGGGCTCGAATTAACACAAAAAAATCTAATCGCAAAAGAGCAAAAATAATTTTTTTTTTTTTTTGCTCTCCCCCCCCCCCCTCTCTCTTATAGCTCGCGCCGTTGTGCGGTAATGGGGGGAAAAAATTATCGTCAATAAATCAAAAAACATCGTCAAAAACTTAATAAAAAATTAGATACCACGTTTTTTATAATTTATTGTTCTTGAATGAAGGACTTAATAAAAATTTAAATGTAATTAAGTTTTTCATTAAAATGGTTGATGTTTTTATTCAATTTTTCTATTTCAAGTTTTCCAATAAAAGATGAAACAAAAAAATTTGGTTTAATAAATCGGATTATACTTCATGTTTAAAACAAGGCTTAAAAACGTTAAAATAAAAAAATTGCTGGTTTTTATTAGCATTTTTATACTGTTTGAAAAAAAAAATTAATAAAAAAGAATTAACTAATAATATATTAATTAATAATTATTAGAATTATTAATAATAACAATTAATTCTTTTTTATTAGTTTTTTTTTTCAAACAGTATAAAAATGCAAATAAAAGTCAGTTTAATTTTTTTGCTCTAACGTTTGTAAGCCTTATTTTAAACAAGTTTTGATTAACAAAGATAAAAACCAACTTTTCAACTTCTCGCTTTAACGACCTTGTAAAAATTTTCCACGCAGAGATTTAATGTAATTTAAATTCAAAAATGTTTTACGTTGAAAGAAAATCTCCGCGCGAAAGAGCAAATCTATCTATTCAGAATAATAAATTTTGTGTGACGTTCTTTATGATAAAAACGTTACTTTTAAGAATTGCTAAAAAAATGCTAAGCTAAAAAAAATAGTAATTAATCAACCAAAAAAAAAAACTATTACTTAATAACTTTTTTTAATAACGTCTTTCAACCGAATGCTATTATACTGTCTTTGCAAAACTATTTAAAAAAACTTGATTAAAACTTAACTATTTAATCACGACTTTTTTTTACTTGAAAATCGAAGTAGATATTATAAAGTTGTTGTGACGTACTAACGTGATTTTTAACGACTAACAATCGAGTTTCAATGGTGAAAAAATAAAATCAAAATGGAGTTGTTTTTTAGTGATTTCGGCAATTGCTTTTTGTTAGCATGCATTTATTATTACAATTTAGTGAAAAAGAAAAAAAACTTACATATTTTTTTTTAATGCTCTTTCATATGAGATCATATGTTAGGAGCACTTAGGGATCCCTTTAAAAATGCAACATGTTCAACTTTTTCTAAATTTAATGCTAAACATTCCTAACAGACTTGAATCATAAAGATAAGTAAAAAAATTTGATTTTGTCAAAAATTACTAGTACACAATAAAGGTAGTCTCATTATATGATATACACTATACACATACACATGTATATGGTATACACTATACACATAAACATATACAATATACACATATACTGAAAATAGCATAAATATTACAATAATATTTTTGTGAAGGGACAATGTAGGTATGTTACAAAAAAAATCAAAAAAGCGTGATATTAAATTCAAAGACATCATTAGAAGCACCTTTTAGTAACTAAAAAAAAATTACCTCACTTTAATTTTTTCGATGTCATTTAAGGAAGTTATGAGTTTTTTAAACATAAAACTTTTATAGGGATTTTTTCAAAAAGTTGTGACTGTTAATTTGCAATTAACAACTTAAATTAGTTATAACTGCAATAAAAATTATCCAATTTGATTAAATTTGGTATTAAATGAAAGCTAAGAAAAGCAACAAATATTCCTTGAGTAATAGTGGTTAAAAAATATATTCATGTTGGGTGGCGGTGATGGGGGCACATAGTGAGTACAGAGAGGGTGTTTAAGTATTCACACAAAAAAATTAATTTTTATAAATTAGTTATCAATAAGGTTATCAAATCTAAAGAAAGCATCAACTGCCTTTTGCAAAGCATCAACTGCATTTTGCAAAGCATCAATTGCCTCTGGGCAAAGATAAATGGGCGTACTTGAGAGTTAATATAAAGTGTGGGGAGGGAAAGGCGAGTTGAGGGGGGGGGGGGAATTTTCAGAATAATATTTTTATATAAAACAAAGTAACAAATGCTAAAAATTATAAACCGGTATCTAATAAAAGAAAAAAATAAATTTATCTAAAAAAGCCTTTATTATATAATAAAGCATTTCTTAATGCTTTTTGATGTTTTGTATTTATTACAATAATAGTTATAAAATAATCTCGAAGAAGTTTAAAAATATAAAAAAAACAAATTAAAAAACCAAAGTATTTAAACATATGCAAATAGCATATAATATGACAAAATATAAATATAAAATATGTCACTATGAAAACAGCAATTAAAAAAAAATCATCAATTCACTTTCAAGATAATATAAGGTCTCCGTATAATTATATCGGCAGCATATTCGAATTTTGAAATGTCATAATCCACAGCATCATTATCATATGTTTCATTATCTTTCTAGTATGCTACAACATACACTTGCTTACCATTCTTTAATTTCATTTTTTCAAGTTTACCATAATAAACTTCTTCTCCCTGCATTTGAGAATTAAACCATATATGGCAAATGTTTCTACCAACAACTGTATCTGATAGCATATCTGAGAGGTCTGATAATTGATTAGAATTAGTTCTGGTAATTAGAATTAGTTCTGATAATTGATTAGAATTAGTTCTGGAAATGCTATTAAAATATCTGAAAAACTAAGTTTTTGAATTTGAAGAGCCAATATTTTTCGGTTTTTATCCTCATTTTTTTTGCTTCTTCAACTTATTTCTACAAATCAGTTCAAGCTTTATTTCATTAATATTTTTTTTATTTATCCCTCTCTTTGTTCTGGCTTTGTTTAATGCCCAGTAAACAATTTTATCTTTATCATCTTCATCTTTTTTTTCAATATAATTAACTAGATTATTTTTTATTGCTATTAACTTTGACGACAAAAAACACAAAGTAGAGTTGGGAGCACGATGTTTAGCAGCACTAAACATACCCATGATTTCCTCTGAATCAATAGTATGAAGCTTAGTTGTCTGTGTCTCTTTTATGAGTTGTAATGATAGAAGTATCTTTTATACTGTCTTTCTAAAACATCAATAATAGTGTTTCTAAAACATAATAATAGCTGATAAACAAAATATAATCACTTGTTTAACTTCTTTGTCTTTCGTGCACACCGAAACTATTGTTTTAAAAACCTTATCATTTTTAATACTATTTCCAAACAAATCTTTTGCATTAAATTCTATTTCCAAACAAATCTTTTGCATTAAGGTTGTTTTTCACATGATAAACATTTCTTAACAATTTTTTCACTACTTTTATTGCTTCAATATGACTTAAACTTTCTGTACCTGACTGATAAAATAATGCCATCCATGGTCCTGCTAAAGTCTTACCCAATAACCCTAAGACACATATTTTTTTTTGGGTGTTTCGTTAATAAAGTCTATTTTTAAACTACTTTTAAGCCCTCCACATGAAACTACATCGCTGCTTTAAAATTAAATTAAGGAATTATAGTGCTCTATAAATATACCACATATATGAAATAAAATATACAATCTGTTTCCTCGGTAACGCGGAATGAGTCCTTTGAGTAATTTCATCTCATCTATAAAGATTGTAAATGTCTCCTTTGCCATTTTTGTATCGCATTTTATTCATTTGTAAAACTATATTTCCAGCCATTGCCAACAGCACTCCTTCATTTTTTTCAATTGATTTTACATGCACATGACAATTTAATTCATTTAAAACTTTACCCCATGAAGAATTTATTAGCTGAATAGCTAATATATATATATATATATATATATATATATATATATATATATATATATATATATATATATATATATATATATATATATATATAAAATCTCTATAAAAATAAATATATATATATATATTTATATTTATATATACTAAATAAAGAATTTTAATTTAATTATATATATATATATATATATATATATATATATATATATATATATATATATATATATATATATATATATATATATATATATATATATATATATATATATATATATATATATATATATATATATATATATATATATATATATATATATTGCATACATTATTTGGCTTAAGCCAATTATGTGTATAGTAACGTATTGCACCTTCTAATATCGTGTGCAATCCTGTCCGCTATCTCTATGCTATCTTTCTAACTCGACTTCTTCTGTCTTTCACTATAACATATCTTCGTTCTTCCCAAATTCACTTACTCTTGGTCCGTAGAGCGGGTTATGACGCTCCTTGGGGAGCCGAACTTGTCTTTGCGGGCCTTGGTAATATAGCCTCTGTATGGCAACTAGCCGGAGGAGGATAAACCACAATACCTAGACATATATATATATATATATATATATATATATATATATATATATATATATATATATATATATATATATATATATATATATACATATATATATATATATATATATATATATATATATATATATATATATATATATATATATATATGCATATATGTATATATATATATATATATATATATATATATACATACATATATATATGCATATATATATATATATATATATATATATATATATATATATATATACATACATACACATATACATGTATGTATATATGTATATATATATGTATATGTATATATATACATACATACACATATACATGTATGTATATATGTATACATTTATACACTTGCACACGCATACATATACACATACACACACATTCGTACATAAATGCTGTAAATCTATAATTACTTTTTCATAATTTTATTGACTGTAATGTATATAATTAAAGACTTTAGATCTTTCCAGACAAATAAAGTATGCATTAATAAATAATTTTTAAATATAATATTTAAAAAAATAGATTTTAGAATAATTCTCTGTTTGTTATTTAAAAGCAATAGTTTTAGCTTTAGTTTAAACTGTTCAAAAGTTGTAAGTGTTTTAATATCATTACTAATTTGGTGGACTCATATATAGTTTTGGGTTGAACAAAGTTGTTATTTGAATATTTAGTCATGTATTTGTGTTGAATTTTATTAAATAATGGTTTGAAGATATTTGGTATTGTATTATTATTAGTTTTATACATAAAAATTAGCAGTTGATATATATTTAATTGGTACAAATTTAATATTTCTAGATTGTTGAACAATGGTCTAGAATGTGAGAGGCGGTGTGCATTTGATAATAATCTGATTGCATGTTTTTGTTTGCTAAATAGCTTTTTTGTCTTTGTTTTATTGGTGCTACACCAAGCAATGTTTGCATAATTAAGATAGGAATGAATAATGAGTAATATATGTATTTCAAATATGAATGATCTAAGTATGGTTTTGCTTTATAGTGTAATCCGATATTTTTAGAAATTTTATTTTTAATCATGTTTATATGGTCTTTCCAATTTATGTTTTCATCTAGTATTACACCGAGAAATTTCATTTTTCAAATTTCAAATTCTCTTTTTACGATGTATTCTCCAATAATAAGTTTTGGAAGTGCAATAGGGATTTTATCTTTTTTATGGAGCCGAGGAAAAATAGTATATTTGGTTTTAGTTAGATTAATTAAAAGTTCAGTTAGTTTTAGAAGTTCAATGTTGACCATTTTAAATAATGTTGTTAAATTACTATGAGAATAAAATAAATTTGTTTCATAAGCAAATATTATAGAATCAAGAATATTAGAAGCTCTGTTTAAATCATTAATATAGATTAATAATAAAAGTGGTCCTAATATAGATCCTTGAGGAACGTCACAAGTAATTGTCATATTGTTAGTTTTTTCATTGCGAAATGAAGTATATTGTTTTCTATTAGATTAGTAGCTTTTAAACCAAGCTATGTTTATATTTTTGATTCCATAGTTTTCTAATTTTTTAACTAAAGTACTATGATCAACAGTGTCGAATGCCTTACTAAGATCTATGAAAACACCTAAAGTGAAGTAAATTTTTGTCAAAACCTTGAAAAATAATCTGAATAAGATGAAGAATGGCATAATCAATAGAGTAACATGTTTTAAAGCCAAATTGTTTGTTATAAAGAATATTATTTTTTTCTATAAAATGAGTCTAATTTGATATACATAATGCGTTCTAGTATTTTTGAGAAGCAAGGAAGTATGGAAATAGGTCCATAGTTCGAGGTATTAGTATCATCTCCAGATTTAAAAACTGGTATTACCTTGCAATTTTAAGTTTTTTTGGAAAGATTCCTAATTTAAACGAAAGATTAAATATATGAAAAAGAAATTTTTTCAACTTTGTATTAAACATATTAATAAAATTTATAAACTTTGCAATTTGTAATTGTTATTAACACTTTTGTATAACGCATCTTTATAAATGTAACGGAATCTTTTTTTTTTTTAAATTGTTTCTAAATTATTTGTTATTTTCAAGTATAATATATTTTTTTAAACTTTAGTAAGGAGTATTAATTAAAATATTTTAAAATAGGCGTTCGTGGTTCAACTACGGCTCGTCAGCCCAATAAGCGATATTATTAAGAAAGGAGATGTGAACCTCCTGGTTAAATGGTCCTTCGCGGTTCACTGAGCACAATTTAGAATGATACGAAACAAAGAACACATGACACAAATCAAAGATGACATGACACAAAGGAGACATGACGTAAATCAAAGGGAAAAGGGGATTTGGGTTGTCTGGAAAACAAGTCTCGGTAAAAAAGAAAAAAAAAGTGATTGAGTGAAGTTACGGCAAAACATTAGAAAAGGTCAAAAGTGCCGATTACTAATGCTACAGCCAAAGTAAAAGTCTGATTACTAGTGCTATAGCCAATTTAAAAAATTGTCAGAAAATTCCAACCTAATTTTACACCAAAAGGTGAAATGGTATCTAGATATATACCCAGACCATGTATTTGACAACTGGCGTCTTTGCAAATTAGATAATAACAGTAATCAACATTAAGATCCAAAGATGAAACAGGCGAATTTAATACCAATGGTTAATTTTGAAAGACGTTGGATTTAACAAATAAAAACTTATTTCAAGACCACAATTATTTGTAAAAAATAATTAAATGATGATTTTTATACATAAAATTTTTCTTAGTCGTCAAAAGTGATTTTTTTTTTTCATAGCTATGGTAGAACGTACTTTTTAAAATTTCCAAAACCTGCATTTATAATTATTTTTCAAATTTTGACCTTGACTACCTCGTGAGGAATATAAAAAGAATAAAGCTGCTTAGCAACATTTAAAATAAATGTTGCTAAGGATTTCACTTTTTCGTACAACGTACATCATTCTTACATAAGCAAAATGATTTTTGGCGAAGTGAAAATTGAAATTTATTATCTCTCAGTATTAGATCTAGCAACTTTTTATTTGTTAGCTAAAAAAAAAAGAATTTTTATCTTATTTTATTTATTATGTTAGAATTTCCATTAGAAATATTATCCAGTTTATCGTGTTTTGTTTATAAGAACGCAATCATTATGTTTATATTTATGAAAGTTAGCTGTTTGTTTGTTAACTAGTACAGTATTAAAACCACGATGTTTTACTTGATTTATCCTTCAAAAGCAAATGCTTAAGGGTGTCACATGTCAATACAACCCGCAAAAATCCTTAGAAAGATCTTATACCTGATTTGCTAAAACCTGTTCAGCGTCGGACTAAGAGTACGTAAGAACTATAAAAATTGAAAGTAGGAAACATGTAAATAAAAAAAAACATAAAGAAGTTCAATAGCTATCTCAAGAAATTATATTAAGTTATAAATGGTTATTAGAAGAGAACCTAATGTATTTATAAATATTTCAAGATAAAGAATGGTTTTAAATTCAAGAATAAAAACTTCATTGTTTAACCACATTGCTTTATTGGTATAAACGCGTAATAATTATGCTTTTAGAATCAAATAGAAAAGCACAATTTTCATTAGATTTTTTACAACGTTACCTCTAGATTAAAGGATTTCTTACTTCATCTTAATAATTTAACATAAAGAATTTTCACTTGTTAAAATATTTGTTTTGCCATACTTTTCAGGTTATTAAATTGTTTTCTATATTTACCTCGAACTCAAAAGAATTATAGCGTTATTTACTCAAGATGATCTCATCGTCTTTTATTTTTTTAATATTGTACGTTCTAATATTTTTTGATTGAAGTGGGATGTCGTGTTTTCTTTTTAAACATAAATAGGATATACAGATTAGTTAAACATTTCAGCAAATATTGTCTTAGTTTACATTAAAATTTTTTTTTTTTACGCTTGTCTGGAAAAAACAGTAACAGATGGTGGCTTTTGAAAAGCATTTGTTGGTAGCATAGTTTTTTAAAGCCAAGTATAAAGTAATGTTTTATAAAAGTTCACACTCTCAACGCAAGTTAAACCTGCATCTAAAATAAAACTGAACAGCTTTGTAGAGTATAGTTTAATTAATGAAAAAAGACAGTATTTATGGATTTTTTAGTATTCATAAACTTATGGTTAGTAAATTGATGTTTTTTTTTGGAATTCTAGGTCAAATTACCTTATGCCCTTTTATTTGTCGATGTTATGAATCAAAAATATACTGCATGTACAACAACATATCTACTTCGCAACTGATTAAAATACTACCATATATACCAAAAGATTTGCAATATCTAGAACTTTCAGGAAATCTTATAGAATCATTCCCAACGGAATATTTTGAAGGTTTTCAAAAACTAGAGTATTTAGGGTTAAATAACAATAACATTGTAAAATTACCTCCTATGCTTTCAACTTATTTGCCAAACCTAAAAACAATTTTTCTTAATGGGAATAACATTGAAGAGCTCTCTCTGGGTGTTTTTATTGGATACGAAAACATTGAAACAATGAGTTTGAAAAAAAATAAAATAAAAAAGATTTCTGATTTTTCTTTTCAAGAGTTATTATTTCTAAAAGAACTATTTTTGAGCGAGAACTATATTACGCAAATCACCCAATACACTTTTTATGGGTTAAAAAATTTGCGAAAGCTGTTGCTAAACAACAATCTGGTGAACATAATTCACAAAAAGGCGTTTTTTAACACTCCAGATTTAGTTGATCTATTTTTGCATTCAAACAATTTAGAGTTTGTTCCCGAAGGATTAGTCAGTGGACTCCCCTTGTTACAAGTTCTTACTCTTAACAATAATAAAATTAGGTTTATACACCAAATGGCATTTCAAAACTCATCAAAGAGCATGAAAGAACTTATTCTTAATAAAAACCAAATTACTGCGTTACCTCTACATGCTCTATCTAACATAAATATTGCTAGAATTAACTTACAAGATAACCCAATTGTCTGCACATGTTTTTTAA